ATCTGCCTTGGTACAAACAGCATTGAAAACATGGTACGGAGTTTCATTGATTTGGGCATTCTCTCAATAAGCAAGTGGAATGGATTTGATAGTCAAGCACTGACACAGCGCTCTACAAAGTGCGGCGAGTGGATAGACCGATTCACGGACTTTCCACATGGTAAAAGTGGGGAGGTCTAAACTAATCATTTCAAAAAGTGGGGGGGACTTGTCCCACCCTCATATAATGGCTGCGACGCCCAGGCATTGAACCACATGCCTCACCTCATAGCTGTGAACAGGAGAATGGTTCTCTTAAAAATGACATACTGAATTAAAAACTGTGAGAAAGGGTCCCTACTTTTCATTTGATGATCACTTCACAGCAAGCTACCAATAGAGGATGAACATTTGCAATCAGATAACCACAACCTGAGCACAAACATGACTCACAGCGTCAGGGATTTAGCTTATTTGCTACATGCTAACAACGTAGCATACTGTCTCTTTAGCGGCTACAGTCCTGTACATCCACCAGCTTGTAGCTAACTGTTGGTGTTTGTTTGGGTACAGTTATCTAAACAGTGCAGGCGATGTGTGGGTGACCATCAGTTAATAGGAATCACACATATTAGATGTATGTCTAATTGATTAAGGAACATTGTATGCAGTACTCACAATCTTCCTCTCGTTAAACTCTCCACTGCTGTAAGTGGTCGCCAGGATGGAGCTGCAGGCCTCCAGGTACCAGGGCTTGTTTCCGTTCTCTGTGGCGCTAGAGATGGAGATGGTGTAGATACTGCTGGTGTAACCGTCACATGAACAGTGGTCCCCCTGCCGGCCCCCGTTACCTGACGCCCAGACAAAAATGGACCCCAAGCCTTTGCGACCCTGTGGGACAAATAGTGATGTAGCGATGTAATTCTACTCAATTATACGTGCATAAGTCTGCTCAGAAGTTCGGTCTTTTTCAAACCTTCTTGATGCCTTGCTCAAAAGCCTGCTTAGTTAGCTGCCCTGGGCCATCCACTGTCTTGCCATCGTCTTTTGGCCCCCAGCTAGCACTGTAGATGTCGATGTAGTCAGGTCGCACTCCCAGGGACTTGGCTTCGACTAAATCGGTCACTTCACCATCAAGCATCCGAATCCCTGTATCCAAGGTAATATCAATACTAAAACTTTGGACACACTCAACAGACAATGTTCTGTTTTCCCCTGTCTGGATGATCATTCACCCTCATCCTAATTCATTTAACCTGTTTCTCATTACCCGTTCTCTTTCATAGTAAATTTACTTTGAGTGCCTATTCCGCTCGTTGCCAGTTCTTCTCAGTACCTTTGTGTCTAGCGTTCCAGCATGTTATACATATTGTTACGTGACCCTGCTTTGGCTCACTCACTGCTGTTTTAGTTGCCTTTCCTTACCTGTTTACCAAACTCTGAAGCAAAGACTGTCTTTCTACCTAAGCCGTTATGTTGGTGAATCGTTTGTCTGTGTTCACACCAACCAACACATTAGACTGATGATGGACATTGGGGTCAATCCTGTGGGGATAATTATTGGCTATTCATCAAATAGTAATAAGATAGTCTGGAACAAAATGGTGGATCAGCAGACTAAACTGCTAGTGTGGCTGAAGTGTTGAGGAAAGGACAGAGAACTCTACCTCCGATGCGAGCATTATAGGCGATCCCAACGATACAATGGGAGTTGTTGGCAGCTGCTGCAACTTCACCCGCACACCGAGTTCCATGTCTGCATGGAAACAGAGCAAACACATAAATTACAGCCTGACCCAAAGCTGTTATCTGCTTCAATTGTAGACTCGTGCAAACAGTTCCAGAGGCATATTTGAAATAAAATAACCTTACAGTGAAAGTAGCCTAGAGAAGACACTATGGAGAGTGATGGATCATTGTTGCCAAATGATAAGTCTAGTTGAAAGTTGCCAGCCTATGATTCCTTTGGTATGATATCAAAACCTGACATTTACTGTTGATATTTCCGGTGGGCCTTCCTCGCAAACTCTATTAAAGCTCCGCTTGAAATAGGAAAAGAGAGGCTTTTCACATTAAAGACGTAGGTATTATCATAAGTTGGAAAAAGACCCAACACATTTTATTTTTAAAGATTATGCTTTCGACTTTTTTATTATAATTAAACAGAAGATAGACAGGAAAGGGGAAGAAGAACTACATGCAACAAAGCACTGCGGTTCATATTGGAACCAGGCCGCTGAAGGACTGAGTGGCCAAAAGGAGTCTTTGTACACGTAGCCCAGCTCTATCAAGTGGTCATGTAGGTTGCCAAAGTGTTGCCTGATTCTGCTGTCCAGATAAGGGCCTTCACATGCTGTTTGGATGGTCCAACAACACTTAGTTTCAACAACACTTACGTACTGATTTTCTTGAAAATTAGTCTGGAATCAATCACCAACTACTCCTATGTATTGTCACTTGGTCCTATATTAGAACAATAGTTACATGATCAAAGGACATAGAGGGGGTAAGTGCACAACAGATTTACGCTGAATAAGACAAGATGGAGACATTACACGTTAGCATTGCGGAAGTCATAACGTGGTGTAGGGTCATGGTCATTCCCATTGACGTCATAACTTGCTAGATGGTCCTAGAGAAAAAAGAAAAAGAAGAACTGCTACGTAAAGGCGTTTCTGAAACTCCTTTGTCTGGTTTATTTTTGTGCTTTTTGAGTTATGTGTTTGAACTGTATCAATATCTGGAGAAGATTGGATGGATAGCACATACATAGTTCTGAGCCAGATCAGGGTGGCTCCACTCGATGCCGTCATCCAGTATGGTGACCACCACATTCTTGCCGGTGTAGCCCCTCTGCCAGGCTGCCTGGATGTTCATCTCTGAGCGACACTGGCTGTTATTATCACTACAATGCTGGAAAGAGACAACGACGACGACAAGCAGCACACTTGTTATGTTGTATTTTCAAACTGGAAATGGCAGGATGATTGATTCAGTGCACTGTACTTACAATGTACCACATGTTGGACCACTTAGGGTCATTGAAAGGAATGAAGCTTGGGTCGCTCTGAGCAAACCTCTTTACTCTTGGCTTCACTACCTGCTGCTGAGCCCAGTCCACCTAATGGTCGAAATTGAACCAAACATCAGTTGCAAGGGGGAAAAAAGGCTTGCTTTTTTCTATAGAAACGTATACCTATAGAATTATATATCAACATGGCTGTTGAGATATTTTATTTTCACTAGATGATTATCAGGGCCCAAATTATTCACAATAGCGATATTGTCACTGTTTCTAACATACATTTAAACAACTAGCTAATGCTTTAAGTCAAATTAATTTTCCACTTTGTTTATTATGGTGCTTATAACTATTATATTATTGCGTATGACTATTTATTTAGCAGATGAATAAAGTTGCATTGACTCGGTCCATGAGAAGCATAAGAACCTACTTTTTATTTGATTGTTTGGTACATAACTGCACTTAATAAAAAATATATTTATCACTTACGTAGAAAAGAAACACAATCAATCTTTTTAAATCATATGAGGTGTATTTTCCCACAACTTTTTAAACCTATGAAATGGAAAAATAGAGAATTGTGACCTGCTGCCAGTGTAGTACTGTAACTATGTGCAGGTTTTGCAGGTCTGCTGGGAAAATGGGAAAATTATTTTTGGATTTAATTAGAAAGAAAGTGATCAGAGCCTCACCTCGGGGTCCATATGGATGAAGCTGTGGGGGCCCTTCAGAGAGAACGCAGCCCTGCGAACCACTCTGCTGTGGTGGAAATGGTAATGATCTTCCAGACTTCCTATCTGCCAAACACAACATCAACATCAAGACAATGCAACAAAACATAGAAAATAAAAGTTGGCTATAAATGACATCCATCTAAAGTTCTGATACCTAAATTGCTTCTACACTCATGGTATAACTGTTTTAGATTTAAACCTGATGCTACAATGTTCTAATAAAAAAACATTCAAGCCATCTGCATATACTAAACAATAACGCTAAAGGATAACACATGTTTTCTCTTTGCACCAAAAATGTGAGCAGGATTTTTAGCACATGTGCACAGCTGGCACACCGCAGTGATATTCTTCAGACTGTTTCCACCCTCTCCCTACCTCCTTCAAACACTAGTTTCCTGTTATTCTCCTCCAGAGTCACTTTCTGATGAGGACAAGTTGTAGTTTAGTTTATGTTGTTGCATTCTTTACCTAAGGTTTATGGATCATGAGTAAAGCAGGTGATTAATTCCTCCAGGTTCCGGGCAAAAAAACAGAAAAAGAGTAGAAGCTTCTAAAATCTAATGATTCAATGTTTCCACCTCCTTGATCTTGATCAAGTCAATGAACAAAAAGCAGATTATAAACAAACTTCACCTAGGCTATATTAATACAACCTTTTACCTTATCTAGGTGCCTGGTGTACAGTATCTTAAGGATCAACTCTTCTGAAGGAAGAGAACCAAGATATATTTTTCAACCTGAAAACCGAAAAACAATTATTTGGGACGTGTTATTGCAGCCCTGAATCACTATGGAGTTAACACAACGCACTTACATTCAAATATGTAGCCTATACTGTAAAGCTCCATATAGATATGAGACGGCTACAGTTCTCTCTTTAAACTATACACTACATATATTTAAACATTTAGCATACCTCACTATCTAACAGGTTATCGTTAAATGTTGTGTTAAAGTAATAAAATAGTGGATTAACAGAATATCCACGTAATGACGATCCTGTGGGATCATTTACTTACGCTAAAAAGTAAGTTCCCAAATCGTTTGTAACATAAAAGCAACATTCTGAGCTGATTTTGATCATCAACACATTTTTAATTAGGCCTATAGCTTTCAAATGTACCTTATATCTTTGTTTAATACAATGGTCATAACTTGTTACTTTACGGACAAAGTCAACATTCGTCAGTAATAACCGATCAACAGAAATAAAGTCGTTACCTGTCCGAAGTTGATGTATCCGTATTTCGCTGCCACTCTGTCCGCCCGCTGAGGCCCCCCGGAGACCCTCACTGCCCAGTGGTTGGTGTAAACCTCCGACCGACTACTTTCTACAGTCACCAACATCAACAGCAGGAACAAAGTCATCCTGAGAAGCAGAGCTATTAACCGGATCTTTAGTTCAGTGAGCGGCGCAGTCATGAATCCATCATGATGTGTTCACGTCCCGGGGAAAGTCACTGTCCGGCAGAGAATCGCAGACGCGCGTTCAGAGCCCAGAGAGAGTGAGCTGCACAGATTCACCTGCAGGTAGATTAACCCGGAATACAGTGACGTGCGGTGCAGTGGCGTTTTCTCCTGGAGTCCAAGGGAAGCCAGGCTTCCCCTGTTTTTTCGGATTGTAGTTATCATTTTAATAAATAAATAAAAACACTTCGTTTAGTTTCGGAAATTCTTTGTTGTGTGTCTCTCCCCCATTCTCATTGAGTATTTTACAAAGAGTGAAACAGCGCCCCTCTAGATGTTATGGTGAAACAGTAGATAGCACTCTCTGTTGCGAGAGGAGGCCAGCCGAAATTGGCTTCCCTTGGTGAAAAAAAATTGAGGGATTGACCAATCAGATGAGGCCCACGTCATGCCCCTGCCAACCTGTGATTGGTCAGGGCCATGCCAAGGGAAGCCAGAGGCGGCTGGCTTCCCTTGCCTCACAATCCAATCAAATCGCATCAACTTAGTGGTGCAGTGACGCGTCCCAAAAAGCGGAAGTAAGCTGCGCTCGGTTTCCCTCGACAAAATAGCAATGGGATTTCTCCATAGGATTTTGAAAAATAGCTCGAAAAAAGGTCAGTGGAAAACGAACCTGTTAGGTAAATGCACGTTTTGTTCAGTCGGATAATATCCACATGTCTACCCTACTTTTATAATTTTCGAATCATAAATCTAATCGATAGAAGATAGATAGCGTCACTGCACCACTCTCACCGCCGTTAGAAAGTAGCAAGCAACTGAAGCAAGTGCAATTATGGAGGGTGGAGATTTGGAGTATTTAATCAAAAATAATTGTACTAAACTTCCGCTGCAGCAGCAACAACAAATACAATCTGATGACAGGCCAATGCCCAAACTGGAGCTGTGTACAGCGAGGAACAAAGGAGCGAACCGGACGTAAAACGTTAAAGGTCTCCTGATTTAGTTTGTGAATGAATGCTTATTAGAGTTTCGGCTGGAGAGTGCGTGCGGACCTGTCGGTCAGATAACAGGCGTGTGTAAGTCCTGCATCTGTATGATACAAACGTGTGTAAAATGATACCGGGCGCTGTAATCACTCATCTGGTTACGTTATTACATTGACCACCACACCCCCCCCACCACCCCAAAAGAAAGGACGTATTATTGGCTTCTCCTGATTTAGTTTGTGAATGAATGCTTATTAGAGTTTCGGCTGGAGAGTGCGTGCGGACCTGTCGGTCAGATAACAGGCGTGTGTAAGTCCTGCATCTGTATGATACAAATGTGTGTAAAATGATACCGGGCGCTGTAATCACTCATCTGGTTACGTTATTACATTGACCACCACACCCCCCCCACCCCAAAAGAAAGGACGTATTATTGGCTTCCCCTAATTTTTTCCCCACGCCACGCTACTGTGTATATATAAATGGACGTAGGATCCGTGACGTCACCCATAGGATTCTGCAGAGTTGCAGAGAAGCCCTTAGTAGGTGGAGTCTGCCACTAACGGTTCAACAGTGACGTCAGAGTCTAGCTCCCGCCTGCCTGATCCAAATAGGGGCAAAGAGGCGGAGCCGAGGCGGGACCTGCTGCTGAAGCACAAGGCGGGGCTCCAAGCTCCTGATCTAGCTGAAGCTACCAAGCTAGGCTAACATGCTCATATGCTCATGCTCACTTAATAAGCCTTGTTCAACATAATTTCTTGAGCTAATACTACAGCAGTGGGCTGCAGGCGAACCAAGTCCGCGTTTCACCGCCGGGACGCCGGAGCTAACGGAGCTAACGGCTCCGGCCGGCAGACTCCGGCGGCCACCACTGGGATAATTGGGTCCCCTTTTAATATTTGCTCCCGTTTAGAATTATGGGCGTCATAGCCCTAGGCAAGGCAAGGCAAGTTTATTTATATAGCACCTTTCAACACAAGGTAATTCAAAGTGCTTAAAAAAATTAAAGACATTAAGAAAAAGTCATTACAAAGCAACACAATCTACTGTACCTGCATTGCAATTACTCTAAACGTGTAATAACGTGCTTTAACCAGTGGGCGGTGCGGGTTAAAAAACTCTCAAGTTTACAGTGTTAACACAATAAGATACTGATGTTTCCGGTTTAGTTTACGACGGATATATTTTGTTATGCACACATATATTGTTAAACAAAAGCGATGGAAAAACCCACATTAACACAGAAAAGATGGTCTTAACACGACCCAGCGGTCTAGTTAATAAAAAATAATAATATCAAACAAAATGTTATTGTTAACTTTATTGTGAAATTAAAACAGAACGGTAAAGAATAGTTTCTGATCTATTCTGAGGCCCAATCTCTGTAGTTAAATAAAGAACTAAGCCAGATGTGTAATATTTAATGCAGCCAAACCATTTTCTACAATGCATTTATGTGATGAATTTCAAAGAGCAAGCACTAGCTGAATAAAGTATGATTTTATCATTTACGAAACGTTTTTTTACTATATGGAATACAGTCGGAGGTCAACCAATAACAGAG